ATCCCTTTTTTGGGACATTGCTATTTTTCTTTTCCTTCTTGACATCCATTCCTCAGTTCTCTTTGGCTAAGGCCTTTCCACTCTCTTCCTGCAATTTCCTTCCACCTGCTGTGACTTCTCAGGTTTCCACTCCATTTTCTCTGGATACGGTCCCCAGCATGCTTTCATCCACAGTGAGACAAAGCCATATAGTAGGAAACTAGTGGATCAACAACCTTAGATCAAAATCAGTATTATTTTGGACCATCAATCTCAGAATAGTGTGTGAAACACAGTGAAATCCCCAAGTATTATTTTAATATCTAAGGTGCTTATTCACTAAACACAAAAAAAACCCTAGGCAGAACACATAAAATACCACTGGTTACACCATTATTATCTGCAGCCTTCACCACTGAGTAAGATGGCCTACATCTGCGCTCATAAGAACCAGTTTTCAGTTGCTCATAAGGCTAAACTTTACTTCACTGGGTTGGAAAAGTGCATGTTTACCTCACTGTGTGATTTTTGTTAGGCAGTTTGCTAGGACTGCTGCCTGTGAGTGCTTATGATTATTATTTTTTTTTAATTAGGCAGAAGAATAAATCAATAAATCAACATCAACAAAATAAATCAATGAAGCACTTCTGGGAGCAGGGTGTGGGAAAATATATCGATCGACACTTGTGAGCTCCAATGTGTGTATGATTTGAAGACTTTGTATTAGGCAGAAGATGAATTCCGTGGGCTGAGAATATTGCTATTGTTGTCTGTTTGGAAAATTGTAAAAACTTAGCCAAATTTCAAATCTTGAAAAAATCATAGCCACCAGATGCTTACAAGACAGTTTTTAGATTATAACGGATAAATCAAAGAGCCCACCTTTGCTAGTATGGTCCACTGTAGGCCTAAATGTTCTTCTAACCACCATCAGTGGCTCTGTTTAAACATCCACTTGGATGTTTAAAAGATTTGCAATAAGAAAATATAAATCAGGAAAGTAGTTTCAATGTTTATTATTACTATTATTATTACCATTGCTAAGCTTCTACAATAGAAGTGCTGTAACTTCATGCTAGCCATATATTCAGCAGCTGGAATAAATAAGATCAGGTAAGTCATCGAGTAAGAAACTGCTTAGAATAACACTGAGAAATGTATTTAACTAGTGGAACGGGGTGATAATCAGCACTTCACTAAGCATCAAGGACACTGAGAAGAAAAGTGCAGGTTAGGGACCTGTATTCACTTAAGCTACTGGGGAGTGAAACAAACAAAAAAAGCAAATCCCAAGACAGAGACTCCCAACATTTGGGAGTACGGTAATTATTTAACTATTACATTTACTGTGAATTGAGTTTTGAAGCTCATATATTTGTTCTCCATTACATAATAGTATGCCCTAGAAGACTGAGTCTCCCTTAAAGCCAGTCTCATATGTAAACCCCTAAATAAGAGCAATATCATTCAGAAGCTAAACAGCATTTTCTCTGCAATTGCAAATCTGATCCACAGTACTGCTCTAGACACAGGAAACGATGTCTGAAACTCATTACAGATCTCCCTTCTTAATGCAATATAGATGAAGAAGGTATTTTTTCTACTTGAGTGCAGGAAAAGGGGACTATAACCACCTGTGGTCAGCAAAGTGGAACAGATTAGAAAAAGTAGGTTGCGGGAATGAGACTAGCAGCAGGGTAGAAAGAGTGGAGGAGAAAAAATAGAACAGAGCATGGATAAAATGCTGAACTTTGGAACTAACAGCATGAAATAAATGAAGTGAAAGGGAAGAAGAGAGTCATGGCAAGAAGCCAGGATGTAGGTAGAGACAGACTAAGCCGGAAAAGAAAATGAAAGAAGAAAGTGAGACGGTGAGGAAAAAACACTGAGATTGAACAAAGGAGATTGGGACTGTGAGCAAGTGGGAAAAAGGGGCAAGTATAACAGAAGGGCAGGAAGGTTGGCATAAAGCCAAAGTAGAGAAAAGAGAAAGCTTGGATGAGAACCAGGGAGAGGAGGAGGGGCAGAAGCTGGCTGTGCAAGGAAATTAGGATTGGGATAAAACACGTATGGAAAGGACATGAAGCCAGGCAAATGAATGGGACAATAAGGCAACAGAATAAAGACAAGAATGGAACAGACTGGAGACAATGGGACAAGTAAGGTTTTGTGTGGGAGGAATGAACCGTAAGGACTGTGTCTGTTCATACACAGAGCTTGGAATGGAACCCAGGTTCCCCAAGTGTCACCACTACCTTTCTGCAGTCAGTGTGTTTAACCTATATGGCCTAAGAGTATGCCTTTTAAACCTCTGGAATAGTTCAAGTCAAGAAGGACAACCTAATACTGTTTTCAGCTATCTAAGCAAGTGACAAAGGTTATTCAAAAGTTTTTCTACAGCTGAAGTAAAGACTTCAGCGGTCTTTACTTCAAGACTGATAACCTACATTTCTATTTTTCAATCCACCAGGAAATTAGACAAAGAAAAAAATAAAATAAATTGGGGAAAAATATTATGTGATTTTGTGATTAAAGATGCTTATAAGTTAGATTCCTACAAGTTATATATTAATACTACAGAGAGGATCATAATTCTGGAACTTCTCAAAGTTTGTGCCTGAACAGTCTTATTAGACTTGTCATATATGCCTCTCGTGTTTCTATATATATGTATATATATTTATATGTACATATATGAGAAAAAGTTACTATAGCTGGTATTTCAAGGAAAATGAAATTTATATTGATCACTGAGATCCTGCAATAATCAAATAAATATATAGTGTAGTCTGTGCACATCTCAGCTTTAAAAACATACATGTAGAAACTGAGAATTTTATAGTAATTTTGGAAATTGAGGTTGCCCCTAGCCTGTATATGAAGCTCAAACTTGTAAATCTATTTTCTTATCATTTGGTATTGTGTGAATCTAGCTTTTCTTGCCTTACCCACAATTGTACCCACAATTAGCATTTGAATCATTTATAGAAACCTGCTGAATGTATTGAGTGAAAGAAAGATATCACAGGCAGAAATCCCAAAGCGGTGTCTCTGCTTGAGGAAAATGAGTGTAATTTGATCTGAAGGGAAATGCTGCTCTTCTACCTGAGTACAATCACGCATGCCAAAGATGAACAAAAAGACTAAAGAAAAGAGGGTGAGATATGTCTGGATAAAACATTCTCTAGAGGATTTTCTGACCATAAATGAAAGATTCCAACTGCTTGACAGGGAAAATATGTATTCCCTGAGTGACTATACTCTATTCTTTTTGAAATACTGAACAAGTACCCCCTTCTTTAGGCTCTTCTCATTGAAAACATTTGTGGAATATGCAGAAGTCCAGAAACTGCATTCAAAGGAACTGCTAGGGCAATGGCCAAACTTGAATGAGATTAAATATCATATCCTATAATGAGTTCAGGTATCCCCTTTTCATTGAAGCATATTCTAATGATCTGTGTGGATTTTTTTCTATTTTGGGGTCAACATGCACTTAAAAAAAAGAAAATGAAACTGCAGTTCATAGTTGAGTCAAATGACTAATGTGTTTTGCTGACAATGAGCAAATTAGATCACATAGTAAGAAAGTGTGTTCTCTTAGACTTCAGCAAGAAGAGCACAGTCCCTTCTATGATCTGAAACAAATGCTGTGTTTGGATGAATAACTAGACAGAGGGGTATGATTCAGTCCAAGCAAACAAGCCAAACAAATCTATATTAAGGGAGAATATACTTACTGAATGGCAATTTCAGACACAAATTTTGAAAATGACACAGGATGTATGTAATATGCTAAGACACGACCTAGGCATCTGAGCTTAATAAACAATTTTTATTTATTTGGGATATTTCCAATTTATTAATGGGAAATCCTTGCTAGTGCAGGAGTTACTCTCGGAGAGGTACAGTCAGCAGTTCAACAATTCTCTTACCTTTTTTTTTTTTGACATCATGAAACTGTTAAACCTCAAAGTCAGAGGCTAAATCTGTCTCGCTAAGTAAGAGAGTGCAATGGAGTAAGCTTAAGTATCCCTTATAATCCACACTGCTTAACTGCTAGCTCTGTCCCTGACTCTGCTTTGGACCACTCCAACCAGCTCTTTACAAACAAGACTAATCTCCTATAGAGGAAACTAGCTCTAAACAATATGTATGTGAGCCAGACTGTTGCCTGGCTTAATCTCTAGCCTTCTTTCATTTAGCAATTTAACAGTTTAGACACAGGCAGCATCCCCCAAGGATGAAATTTTGGGAGAGGTAGTGTTTAAGCTACTGGGGAGTCAGCTCTGACCTGCATGCCTCCGATAGCTGGTTTGAAAGGTGACATTTCTGTGATAAACAACAAAGAAACAGCTTGTGGCTGGGAATTGTGCCAAAGTACCAAAGGGAAATGTCAGAGCTGCAGCCTATTCCCACCACGGGGAGGGCGAGCGTGTGCTTTCCTGATCACAGCAGCCTGGAAGGTGTCCAGTGGGGACAGCACTACCAATGCCAGATTACTAGCTGTTGACAAAGTGATTGCTGTGCTAAATTCAAATTAGGGGGCCAGCCTGAGAAATACAAGTCGCCCTTCTGCAGTTGGTATCAGTGCCAGCATGGGCGGTGTGGTACCCAAGTGACGATGTGTGCCTCACTCTGGTGTGCACAGGCAGCAGCCACATATATCCCAGCACTCCACATGTTGCACATGAATGAGACAAGGGAGTTCAAACTGCCATCAATCACAGTGTTAAGAGTGTATATGTCCAAAAGGCTCTGTTAAACTTACGTAGGCAACCCTGGCATATTCTAATTTCTTGAGGCTTGTTTTGCTGCCCTCATAATCTGATTTTGAAGAGGTTTTTGTGTGTCACTGATTCTCAAATGATCTCTGTCATTTGAGATGCCACCTGTAGTATGGAAATGTGTAAGCTTTTCACATTAAAACCAGAATAGTCTCCCTAACTTGAAAGTATTTGCTACTGCTACAGAAGACTACCACGAAGAAAAGAGAAGCAGGTGAAAAAATCATGCTTTACCTGTCCATACTTTGCAGCTAAATGTAGGGGTGTCCAGTACTGATTATCCACTGCATTGAGATCAGCCCCATGATCCAGTATCAGAGATGCAACATTCTTGTATCCATTAGCGCAGGCCACGTGCAGCTGCAATATAAAAGCATCTTAATAGTTTAAAGAACTCAGAAAAGCTCATGACGCACTACTGCGTATCTTGGCTGCCCCACAGACCTAACTGGCTAAATCACGATAATGACAAATACAAAATATACATGTGATAACAACAGACTAGATGATAACCACTGTGGAGTCTTTTTTAACATTTGTAAACAAAACCCACGAAAAAATAAGAATGTTAGCTTATTGAGAGCTATTTAAACAATCTAGTCGCACTAGATACTTTTCATACAATTTCAAGCAAAAGTCTTTTCAAACGCATTCACAAACTTCATGAGCCCAGGTAGATTCATACATTTCAGCAGAGCGCGGACCTAATTTTCTTTTGTGGCAGTTCAAATATCCCAGATGTAAGCTGACACTACTTTACTCCAAAATGAATTCATTAACACATAACCAAACCAAACACATTGAGTTTGCAGCACAAAATCAGTCACAAAAAATACTTTCTCAATTTTGAACCACAGAGATTTTATTTCTTTTACTTGCATTGCTTCCCTAGATACTTAATTGTACATTGAGGCACATATTTCACATGACCAGATTGATCCACGTTAGTTTAGTGGTGTTCATCTTCTTATGGTTCTCTGCTATGAATTCAAACATTCCCTCCACTTCTGGGAGCAAAGGGGACAAAATTTGCATTTGAAAATTGGCACAATATAATTGCTCATCCACAGGCAGAAGGAGACAATTCTCATGATGGTCAGTAAGAACAGGGCTCAGGAAGATTGCAGAAATGGAGAACTGAGATTATAGGTGGTAACCTGTATCCCCAAATCATGTAGCCCAATTACATGATTTTTTTCAGTTGAAGCAACGTTAGCCAAAGAGACTATTTTTCTGAGGACTGAAATGAATGGTTAATGGCAAGAAAAAGGTCTTGCAATAAACCTGTTACTAGAACTGTGTAGTTCCAAAGTCACTATAAGCATAGGAGACACCAAAACCAGAGTCCAGGATATTATTTGCCTTATCTGCTATTTCTGGTTCAGCTGCACCTGCAGAGTACGCATAAAGTTTTCTCTATGAACATCCTTGATGCAGAGGGATGAAACACATTACAGCTCATCAAAAATCTTCCCCTGGAAAGGGGGCAGAATACCCCTGCCCCGGGGGCAGAACACCAATTCTGTACACTATAAATGTTCTAATTTCAAATATACAAAACTCTCAAAATTTTCCCATAATTTGACATAGCTTCAGCTTTTCTCCTGTTTTAACAGAAGAAATTACATTTTCTATTCAGACATCAATTTGACAAGTGCTATTTTAAAGTAGTTTAAATGCTCACAGGACAAAGAAAATATTTTATGACTGCAATCTTTCAAAGAAAAAATTATTACAGGAGAATTTAGCAGAAAAAATAATTTTGCCATACATCATTCTGTGTCTGTATTGCATGTACACATATGTATGCGCTATGAATCTATGAGAATGTGTGCATTTATACATTTATGGCACCAATTTTTTGCCTGATTCATCTTAACTTACACAGGGACTTAGACATATTCTATCAAGAGAAAACAAATCTCATTTGCTACTGACAACTGAGATATTTGTTGTTTTCTCTGTACAGATAGATGTAGAGCAACAAAAAACTATTCCCAGCACCCTTTGATACACATACAGCTATCACAGACTGGCTGACTCCACACCCATGAATAGAGACAGAGCAGTTTAACAAATCCTGGATTTCCCACCAGTTTGTCAGACAAAAGTTTCACATAATAGAAATCTCAGACAAAAGCAAAATGATCCACTCTGTAGCTACTTGTCGCAAGACTATGAAAGAGGTTCAAAAAATCAAAGTTCAACATAAAAACTGTTCATGCAAAAAATGTCCCCTTTGTCCACATCCCACCAAGCAAATAACAAAACCCAAACTACCCACAATGCTTTTCTCCTAGTGGCTGCAGTACCGTTAAACACATTTCAGACATGCATTTCAACTACTCCAGCTAACTACAGAAAAGGTTTTATACAATGATAGTTAGGTAAGTTCATAACTCAACTAAGCCAATTCAGACTAAAGTAGCAATAAGAGCAAAGCACAATAGAAACAACTTTGCATTTTACTGTGATTTAGCAACTTAGCTTAAATGTATCAGAAAACTGGAAGTTAAATTAATGCTTTTATGAATTAAACTAAAAGTTGCGTTGTTTCTTCCCACCCCTCCCCTGCTTCCCTCCTGTTTTTAAAGACAGTTAACTGCCTTGGGGTGGCCACCCCAAAAGTCATAGCTTTCTGTACAGACACAGCCAGGGGCTGGATTCAACAACCCCGGATATGAGGCTGCTCACTTTTTCAGTTATAGTTTAAACACTCCACAGGTATTAAAATATGGAATTAAATACTAATGATTCAGTGTATTAATTCAGTAACACGCAATGTAATTCAGCATAAATGCTGAAATAATAATAATAATAATGAAATTCAGTAATACATGCCTTTCTAATTATTTTAGTACAGTATTTGCAGAAAAACACAAAATAATTTAAAAAAGTTATTCAGTATTTTAATGCTGCTGATAACCATTTACTGATTGATAATGATGTTGAAGATTTTATATGCAAAGAGAACATTCCACAGACATGCTATCTAGGGAAAAATACATTAATTTTAAAATTATTTTATTACATTAATTTTAAAATGATTTGACAGCTTAAGAAGTAGTGATCCTGAAAAAACAAAGGGATAGAAGATCCATTAGCAGAAAAAAGTATAATGAGACCCAGTGACTACAAATAACATGCAAATTTGGAAGAAGGAACACTTATCCACTGATACGGTGGATGCTTCATTACACTGAATCAAGATGGGATAGCTTCATGAAACAGTGTTTTAGCCTGGTTCAGCCAGAAGATAGGAGCCTAAAATAGGAATCACTGAGTGAAGTTTCATGCCCTCTCACAGAATGTCAGAGACCGTAAGTATCTGCTGCAGTTCTAAACTACAGTGCCAATTTTTTTTTTGCTATTAATTTTTGTGTTGCATATTCAGTGGCTAACAGTAAGAAAGTTGTCGTTAAGGCACAGATGTTGCACTAGCCTATTTTAAAATCTGTACTATGCATGGCATTGACATATATCTATTTTCAAAAGGCCAGATGAGAACCAAAATCTTGCATTCCCTCATTTCTCCTCTTAGAGAATTGCCTTGCTCACCAGTACACAGCTGCAGTACATGCATATTCACAGGGTGATGACTACATATTCCCACTCACCAGGGTAACTCCTTCATCATTCTTTTGATTCACGCTTCCTCCACTTGATATGAGCTGTCGGACATCTGTAAGCATTGTCGTAGGTCTCTGTATCTTCATTTGGCGCAGTGAATTCAGCTCTACACCTGGAAAAAAGAAAAGGCTAAAACCTTCTGCTATTTCATTCATCAGTAAAGAACAGATATACAAATTTGTTTTCTGGGTTTGTAAAAGCTTAATCAACATTTAATTAGACTTCAGTGTATATTTACAGAACATGTTTACTTACTTATATTTACCAACAAGTTTACTCATATCTTTATCAGTCCCTACACGGATGATTTAATGTCAGTCAGCAACATCAAATAAATGGGCCTGACCCCCTACTGACTGGCAAGAGCAGCTGTAGGTAAAGCAGTTGTAATATTAAATCCACTGGGATTGTGAAAATAGCTGTGGCTTCCTTCTCTAAGGAAGCCACCCAAGTCTTTGGGTATTATTTAATGAAAATTCTTTTTGGCTGCATTCTTTCAACCCTGTGTATACATCACAGTGCTCAGACTAGTCCCTCAAATCTGTCGGCTCAACTGCTTGAGAGATTGTGACGTTAAGCAAATGACATTACAACTCAACACTTCTTGATCTGCCTGGGTTATTTTTAACCAGGATTAGTTCTCCAGCTGAGCCTAGATCATTGCAAGGCCCCATAAACTAAGAGAAAATGTGGTATGGAGGCAGGAACAAATGGGAGGGGATGAAAGGAATGAAGGGCGTGGGATTGCTTGTGTCAGCATCGCTACTGAAAGAAACAGTTGTCAAAGTACAGCTTTAAAAGGAAGATAAGCAAGGCAGTCTATAACCAAAAGAAAGCATGGCCTCCAGTCTGAAGAGATTTAAAATTAGAAACAGAGGGTACAACAAAATTGCTACGTGGTTAAATTCGCAGCTGGCTGTGGCTTGATTGGAATATCTAACCAAAATTCAGGGCTTGACTCTTCTGCTCCTAGCTTCACGTGGTCACTTACATCCATATATAGAAAATGTAATTTGAGTATAAAAATCCCTCTTCTCTGCCCTGGCCATGACATAACAAAAAACATATGAATAAATAATTTCTTGGTTCTCTTCCATATTTGTCAGTGAGCTGAAAAGTGACAAATAATAAATTAATTTAATTAATATGTATTTATGTTAAATATTTTTGCTTGAAGAATTCATTTTATATTTTATCTTCAACAATTCTTGCAGTTTTCTACATTACTAAAACAACTGAAGTACGTTTCAGAGTAAAAGCATATTGTAAGTCTCTGAGTTTTAATCTACCCTGGAACTTGTATAAATGGGTGTAACTTATGTAGTTCAGCAAAGAATCCCCTTCATTTTCTTTCTCTAACATGCTACTTTACGCACTGCTTTATATTCTGAATTTTACCTGCAGCACTTCTAAGAGTTTCAGCTCTGAGGTGAAATGTTCAGAGTGAGAACACTGTCTTGCTGGCCACATTTACTTATTCTTATATTTTCCCACCTGTCACCTAAATGATACCAACTGCAAAAGACAAATATAAACTTAAGCTGGAGAAACTGAGATTTTTTTGTATCTGGACTAAAGCCTGTGATCTTTCACATAAATGCAATTCAGAAAAACAGACAGCTAGCTAGCTAGCTAGATGCTATTGATAGCTTAAATTAGATAACCACCCAAAAGCAGAATGTGCTGACATCCTATTGCCTGACAGTTGCTAGACTGGAACACAATAAGGATTTCATATGATGTTCTGAGTATCTCCTAACAATCAGTGTATTCATTTTGTCAGAATTGAAGTTTTTATGCCTGTATCACATTTCACAGTAATTATTTAAAACTACCTGATGACATTTACAGATCACTGATGCCACATGGCATCAATTAAATCTCTTTTTTTTCTTTCTGTTTCTGCCTATTTCCTGCTTTTTGCAACAGTAAATTGATACTTTAACATTCTTTTGCCAGTGACAGAACTCTCTCAAATGTGTAAGTTTAAATTTCAAAACACTATGTGATGTGAAGGGCTATATACACCCAAAATTAGTTATCATTTGCAGCACTGACTTCACTTTTTAAACGCATTACATAGACAGACTGAGCAGCTGCAACAAAACTTGACTGGTCATGATAAAGCTCTTTCTAATGTTGTCAGGTAAGATTAAATTTGAAAAATATATTTACCATTTTATACCTGATGAAGAAGGCCATTTTTAAGTACTACTGACAGAATTTTTGTCAATTTTCTTCTTCCTCTTGATGTCTCCAGTAAACAATTAGAATAAGTTTTGTTTTTTCAAGGAGAGAGGCAACAGGTGGAAATTAATGTACTACCTCTTTTGTGTGTGAATAATACCCCAAACACCCAAAAATGGAAACTAGATTCACAATCCACAAATTAGAAATACCAGTTTCTGACTTTCCCCAGGAAGAAAAAAAAAAAGACTGCGAGTGAAACACAGTTGTTATCAGGTTGTTTGGTTCCTCATGTTTCATGTAAATCACAGTAATGGCTACAGGTTGAGGGCAGAGGCCAGCTGAGTCCACTCAGCCTTTTTTAGCAATTTACTACCAACTTATGCTCAGCATGGTCAGAGAATTAACTTATCAGTATATTCTTATACTAACAGTGAAATATTGATCCTTACGCCTTGTAAATTGCATTTTATAGAACCTTGGTGCGTCCTGTACGGGGCCCCAAAAAAGCTGGCTGTAGAAAGATTAACTTTGCTCATGCTGAAAGAGGAATCAAGAATAGAGTTCAGCTGCATCAATTGCTATGTATGTTCTATCGCAAATATAATTATACCCATCAACTCAGAGAAAATGCATAAACAATGCTACGTAGCAACAAAAGGCACAGTCTATGTGAATCTCAAGATGGCTTTACTGGTTTCAAACTAATAGTTGTATAAAGGAATGATACACGTTTCATTAAACAAATAGCAGTAAACAGCCTGGCAAGTGACCTACCACAGTGACATGTTCCACAGGCTTCATTTTTCAAATGTCCGAAGGAGTTTTGAAAATGCTATGGAAACAACAGAGATTCCCTTCCTATATCTTCATAGAAAATAGAATGAAAACATGAAAAAATAATCTAAACTGCAATCTTAGAATTGCAGAGTTCTGAATTCCAGGAACTCGGGAACTGTCAGGCTTCAGAGTGAAGGCTTCTCTGGCAGGGAGCTGAGAAGTAGCTTTACCAAGCGTGCACATGTATCATTCTCTGAGGCTCAAACAAGGAGACCTGGTCAGTAACTGCCTTCCCTTAATCAAGTTTGTAATTCTGGAGAGTCTGTCCTCCCTCCCCAGGGAGTGATACTTTTCATGAGTTTAGATGGAACAACAAAATGTTACTCATACAGTAAGTAACTCTTGCTGCCTGAATCAAAGAATGACCTTCACGTTGCTTTTCAAAGGGGAAATGTGGTTTAGATATTCAGCTGAAGTGGGACAACAGCCAGCATGAATAAATAGAGGAAGAAAACCAAATTGGCATGTACTATGGGAACAGACTCACATTTTAAAAAATGGAAAGTAAAAAAAAAAGGCATAGGATGGAAAATACGCTCCAAACCCTGTAAAATCAGAACAAGAGCTACATGCTCACAAATTCTGCAGGAGATGAGATGGAGAAGGAACAGTTAAAACAGTAGTGACCCTGCAGGGCACAGCATTTGGTGATGAGTATCAGTGCTGATGACAGGCAGGAGCATAGCTGAAAAGCTACAAAATATATTACTTCTCACTGTTTAAGAAAAACACCTGACAAGGCCATTTCACGTGCTTTGGCTGTCTCACCGTCTTTGGCATATGGTTACAGAACTGACAACCCAAAGGAATGTAAAAACCTTAGATAAAAAGGGGGAAAGTAAGCTTCATAAAGTTGCAGTGGTAAAGAAATACATGGCAAACAGAACTGAGAATTGCTATAAAAAAATATTTCCCTCAGAAATGTCCAGTACTAAGAAGTCCCTCTGTTTGCGAGGGGAACACCTGTTCCTGTGACCAGTACAAAGCAAAACACTCAAGCAGTCTTTGGGAAATACCCATTACACACACCCAGCAGCCACTCTTTCTGTTACTTGCACGTCTTATTCTCCAAAGGGCTTAACAGTCTTTAGGAGAAGTCAATATCACCTTGTCTTGCAAACACAAATGTATGTGAAGAACTTGCAAGAGCTTTGAGAAGCCAATCTCTCCTTTCCTCTTACTTAAGTCTTCTCTCACCCTGTCTATATCTGCCCTTCCTGCACAGAGCTGTAAATGCAGCAAGGCTCTTTTCACCCCAAGTGCGATGAGCCTGTCTGTACTCTTCTGTAATTCTGGGGACACCACGGTTTAGAATTTCTATTTTTCTCCTGTGCAGCGTAGTATAGGATAGACATGTTCACAAACAATGAGAAAAAAACAGTCATGGTACCATTCTTGAAATATTAATTTTCATTCATGCAAATATTCAGGTGTGGCTGGTACTTTATCCAGCTTTATTTGCTTAAAGTTTTAGAAGGACTTTTCTGGCTGCTTACTAGATAGCTTTGTAAAGAGCATTATTTTTGTTAAATTATGTTGTTCAGTAGCTCTTGTGCATATCACTGGGCATTATGTGCATCTAATTTTCAAAGGTCAGCATATGAACAGATACATTTCAGCAACATTTATTATGTGAGAAGGGAAGCCAATATTTTCAGTATCTGCAAAAGAATGTATACTTGCAAAACTACTGAGGCCTGTAGATCTAATTCACTGCAGAAGTACCTTGCTGTTGTTGGGTTTTACCTCTTTTCCTTTAAAGATATCATTACATAGGCTCAGTGAAGGATGTTTAGTTTATTTCCGTCTAGTCTGAAAATGCTATCAGAATTGAAATTCCCATCTCCTCCTCATGTAGACGTCAGAGTGACAATTCTCCCACTCTAGTGAAACATGCTTTTTTTCCCTCTCTCTTCTGTAATAGGATGTTGATGACCCTTCCAGCTAAAATTAGTTAAATGAACTCTGTCTCTTCTTAACTTGTATGAAAAAAAAATAATTTTTGTAATTTATTTTGACAGACTGGCATAATCTCAAGGCTTAACACTAAAGCATTCATCTGTGGATATGTCTTGCATGTTTATT